TGGGGGGGGGGGGGGGCGGCCCCCCCCCCTGCTTCCGCCGGCCATGTTATGTATTGCCCACAAATTGTAGCGATTTAATCAATCAAATCAGAAAAACTATCGTAGCAAAGAAAGATTACCAATGACCCATTTGTGTGATATAGGCCTATAACATTTTTACTTTTGCATTACCAAACACAAGGGTAACTTTCTTAGGCCAAGATGTCCTGTATGAGCTTCTAGCGGCTTACTATTTTCAAACAATTTCTAATTCGTGAAGGAGGCCACCCCCCCTTCCAAACCCTCCCTCGGCTCGCACCTGCGGCGCTCAGATTGAGCTACACGCCACAGTACACCTCTTTTCCTGGGCCTTCAAATGTAGGCTATTCAATGAACAATTTTGGCCCCTATTGCGATATAGTTGAGACATAGAGAAAATAAAACTGATCTATTTTCTCTATGGTTGAATCTGTGATTTGCGTTGCCATTGATCTTACCTAATTAATGCATTAAATAATAAAACTTGATCACTGATCTACTGATAACACTGGCCGACTGAGGGCGTATTTTTCTATTCGTATTATCACCTCATGAATATTAATAATTAACACAAACAATTACAATAAAAAATGGTTTATAAATTGAAATAAAAGGGAAACTATACATGCGAAAAACACGTTTTTTTTTCAAATTTTAATGCATTTTCTGGAAGCTTGGGTAATTTTGGGCAATTTTTGCTGAATCTTGGGTAATTTCGACCCAGTCATTGGGCATATAGAAAATTGTGAGTGGTCACGCTGATTATTTTTATGAATATGAAATATGTAAGCGGGCATGACTATGATTACCAGGATAAATTGAAAAAAATAATGATTAGTATTTCAATGGCAGATTCAAGGGGGCCTAGCCGGCCCACCCTTCCACATTTTTCCAAAATTTAAAAGTGGAGAAAAAAGAAAATGATATTCAAATTAAGACTGAGCAGGGAGCAGTTAAATTAGGCCTACTAATTTAATTGTTCCATGGTCTGAGAGTGCCATTTCCAGCCAACTAGAGGTGCCATAATCATAATTTTTTTTTACCTCAGCCCCAACCATGGTGGGGCTGAGGTGGTCTACACTCTATCTTTAAAAGTCCCTCCATGGCCACCCACTCCCCACCCCCTAAAAATTCGAAATTCTGGATCCGCCACTGTATTTTTAGTATGTATGGCCAAGATCTGGGGGTTCTTTCTCCACAACCCTACCCCTTTGGCTACGCCACTGCATCCGCCACTGTATTTTGAAAATAAAATTTCATGCATTCCTTAAAATCAATTACATACGACTTATAAAAGGCGATAGACACCAGAGCTTCCCGCAGCTTTGTCACCTGGACCCCCACCGGGGGCCCTAGGTGCCCCCCTTTCCCCAACTAGGACTTCCTTATTTTGCAATTCGTCTCCCCCCATGTGTATAAGAGACAGGCCCATGAGTATATACAATGGTTTTGAATACTTTATTTTAAAAAGCTCTAAAATCCTGAAAATGGCTCTGCGTTTAGCAGGCTTAACCCCTGAATCCTTTGTTTTTTTTTTGTTTTTTTTTCAGACAATCAAATTATCACCACTTACATTTTGAAAATTTAAAATAATATCTGGAAAAATGAAAATTACATTAAATATTATGTCTGAGAGTGCTAAGATTTAGGGGTTGTTACAATTCCCTGAAGGATTCGATCTTTCGGATACTATAGAGAATAACGCTCCACGTAAGAACATAGGATAAAAAAATTTCTTTATTATGAACATAAGCTCTATTTATCGGGGCTCGTCTTTATGAAGCAGATGAAAATTACATTAGAATAGTATATTTATTCAGTGGCGTAACGCCTATGCGATCTCATGCGGCGGTCCGCAGGGCCCCGAATTCTAGGGACCCCAAAGGGACCCTACCCATAGTTCCTCGATCTAGCACCCTGAACAAAAAGGACTTTGTTGATAAATAAAACCATAATGTGTCTCTGAAATCGACTGTAGGGCATATATCATATTATAATGATTAAAGAGAAGGAGACCATAGACATTGTCTATTTAACATCACAATAATTCATTATTAGATCTATAGTTGTTTTTTGAATTGTACAAATCTCAGCCGATACCTCGCACAACTCGAGTAACGTCTCGTATCTATTGTCGTGACGTCATGGCTCGCTGGCTCACACACTTGCGATGTCTCGCACTTGTGATCAAATAACACGCTGGCTCGCACTTTGGCAACAATCTTTGGCAGTCAACTCGCCCCTAGAAAACCCGCCCTTGGAAACTTTCCCCATAAAAAAAAATGTACACTTCCTAGGCTATGCAGTCTTCAAAATAAAATTGTAACCTTTGGTAATCAACTACATTTTCCACATACATAGAAATTTTTGAAACTTTATTAAAAAAACTTAAAGTTAAAGAGAACAGTAACTTTTTACTGAAGAGGTAACCCAGTATAAAGAATAAATAAACCATAATTCACCACTATAAACACTTTGACAAAAATGAAAAATTACGACTTTGTTACCCAATGAGAAGTGTTCTAATTATAGACAATGGGTCGTGTCTCATATTATTTGTTATATTTTTATTATTCATTATTTTCACTTGACTCGCATAAATAATTTATANNNCGAAGAACATTTATATGCAGTTGTACTTCGCAGCACTTCACTTGCAATTTGCAATTTCTAGTATGGTATTGTATTGTATCCATTTGCCAGTCGTATTTCAGAGCCATCCGCAAAATGACTCTATTACCCAGAGGCAACAGACTAGAACGAGGTGATGTGTGTGGCAATGCATAATATAATGAGGGTGATTGGAAAAAGATGGAAATAGACAATAGAATTGGTACCATACGTATGGTAAAACCAGGGAGAGCCATCTATGGGTGCGGAAGTATGGGGAGGTGGAATTTTATGAAGATGGTAGTGCGTAATCTTGATTTATTATGCACGGCAATCTTCAATTTGTTGTAGCATCTAGGACACGGCAACAGATTATGGAGTTTAGTAATGCTTGTAGTACCATTGTCACGCATTAAAAGTAGGCGTATTTTTTGTGACAGAATAGGCTACACTATGAAAACATGTGAACACTTTTCAAATCCGGAATTAGGGTAAGAACAACTAACTTTAAAATACCACTGTTTGTAACACGTCACATACGCTTAATTGGACATTTGTGAGGCATATGAAGCCCTTTGCCCTTTTAATGCCGTGAATCACAGAATATGGCCAGAATCAAACTCTGAATCCGCCCCTGACCCCCCCTACCCACCTCAACTTTAATCGTTCGAGCCACCATCGCTTCCAAAAGATCAAAACCCTCTGTGTATAAGCCTACATTCATAATAATTCAGTGGGGTAAGAAAAAAAAACAAAAAACACGGTATTGAAAAAATTAGTTAAAATACACTTCAGAAGACGTCAATCAGATAAAATACAAGCAAACAAAACATTAGGAAAAAATTAAACATTGTTGAAAAATGCCCAGAAAGATTAAGGAAAAATTATTACATCCGCATTTATATTTAATTATGTTATTTACATAAATTTCAATTTAATTTGAATTATAATTTGAAGTAAAAAGAATTTCAATTATATATATAATATAAATCATCAAAGGTACATATACAGTGTTTAATAAGGACATGATGGAACATCGTAGGCTACCCTGTAGCCTTTTAACGAATAAAGTCCTATGAAAAACATTGTGTAATAAAATTCCTCCGACGGGATTCGAACCAGCGACCTCTCGCTGACAAGGCGAGCGTCATAACCACTAGACCACGAAGGCTTCATGGTTGAACAGGTCCAAATACCCGTCGGGAACATTGTATTACACAATGCTATGCCTCAAGAGGGCGTTCGGCCAGATAAATCTGGAAATACGGCTAGAAATACTGTCGTATACAGTATTGTGTATATGATATTGAAGGAAGTTAGCTGTTAACACTGTTGAATAAATATTATATAAATCATCAAATGTACATATACAGTGTTTAGTAAGGACATGATGGAACATCGTAGGCTACCCTGTAGCTTTTCAACGAATAAAGTCCTATGAAAAATCATTGTGTAATAGAATTTGAAAAGGTGGTTTAGAATTTATTTGTATAATATGACTTATTAACAAAAAAAAAAGTAATTTCTCTGGAGATCCTGTCTTGATAGTAAAAAATATTTAAGTCCCAGTTTGCTGCGTAGACCGTGTGAGCAAAATATAAACAGATAGATAAATAATAATAACAGATTACATGATTATTTATCTATTTGTTTATGTATAACGTTCAAAATTGTTTACTATCTTACATGGATGCTTTGGAAGACGTTTACATGAAGACACTGGTACTGATAGATCTCTAAAATAAAACTTGCTTAAATTTTTTTATAATCATTCACTAGACCATATAACGGAATAATGATGTGTGAAAAAACCTGTTGAAAGTTGTGGCGAAGTAATTAAAACTTAAAACGTCTGGAAAAGTCATGAAAATGAGAGTTATCGATTATTAATTAAGCAAGTGTTCCAAAAGTGAGTTAATAAACGAAGAAAATTTGACCACTGAATTACGTGAATTGTGGCACAGTGACATCATAAAGTGAATTTAAGTAAAGGTAGGTGCGCCCTCACACGACATAAGTAGTTGTTGCATAAGAAAGTCGACGAAATGGCTGCTATCGGTACTCTTGTTAAAAATGCACTGCAAAAGTCATCAATATCAAAATTGGTTAGTTGAGCACATCATTATTTAAACGATATGTTGTAAACAATGTGAATGTTGTTCTTTGTTTTTTTTATGTTTGCTCGAGAAATCATCTAGAGCCTAGGCCCTAAGCAGGTTCATGTTGAGATTTGCATGCAAACCAGGGGCATGGGTTTGCACTGGAGCAAATAATGTGATCGTACAAGAAGTTAGGCCTAGGCATGTTTCTCGTGATTCAATTTTTTATTTCTTCTTTACACCAGGGGCATGGCAGGGTAGCTGGAGCTCGTTCATTTCACTTTAATAACTGGAGCTTATCGTCAGAAGATGCAACTTCATCAACCAAAGTATGTGCATATTACTATTATTAACAAAACCAAGGCCTTACTTAAATTAAACTTGTTATAACCCCAGGTCTAATCTCTAGGTAGTGCCTGCTACTTACTACTAGGCCGGGGCCTAGTCCTAGGCTCGGCCTAGCTAGCTAGTCCTAGTGCTAGGTGATTGTTGAGTCTGTAAGACAAAAATCTGTGATATTCTTCAACTGGCATAGGTTTTACTTTGATGGGAAACCAATTAACTACAAACTAGCTACAGTAACATTACTTATTGAAGAGTAGAACTTATAATAAGGTGTTTCATTCAAACTCCCCTAGCTTGTAGAAATAAATGTGCTTTCTAAATAGGAAGTGGATATATTTACGTAACTGTAAACAAATCAGTAAACCATCTATGTGAAATAAATAACGCATGCCCAGTCATACTTTAATAAACTTACATCCTTCACTCACTCGATCGAAATTAATGTTGGTCGAAGCCCCGGTGCCCAAGCTTACAACGGCACTGAATTCTTTATAATTTTGTTTTTATTAACGTAATTTAATTTCCTATAATAATAGTATGTATTTTAATCATTAAATAAATTATTAAATCATTATCATTAAGTGTTAACTTTTCAAATTAAAGTGATATTATCAGCTAGAACTATTTGTGTTCTTGTCATTTTGTTTAAATAAACACACTTGACAAAAGTACAATACTAGGCCTATGCCAAAACATGAAGTTTCCCTGCTAAAACTAGCACTCAATTACCTCCAAATCAAAATGATATTCTTCTAGGCCTAAGCCTGTATTGTTGTACAATTATAGTCAATCATCACAAAGTACTGTAATTAACATTTTAATTTTTTCATTCACTGAACACATTTACTGACATCGTCACTAACAAAAACAACATCATTAACATCCACACTCTACGAACTATACTATGTAGCAAAAGTAAAGAATACAAATAAAGTAAGACAAAACAAATTTTTAATGTTTTATTCAAACACTAACAAAAACAACATTGGCAGTTAATTTGAATGAAATACCATGCTGTGCATATGTCTACACGCTGCGTATGGATGCAAAGAGCATGTGTGAATAAACAGCCTCGCTTGTGCGTTGTGGTCATGACGTGAGTAGAGTGAAAAGAATACAAGCTCATTTCTAGCTTATCATCAAAATGATTCAATGATCTATTTAATGATTGAAATACATACTACTGTAGCAAATTTAATACTTTTCATAAGAACGGAAAAAGTTATTATCGAACGTCAAACCCTGTCGTAAACTGTTTACAAAAATTCATTTAACCAATTAAGGAATTCCCCAGGTGCATTGCTTTGCCGTCAACTCGATCGTGTGTTGTTGAATAATGGCTTTTGAGAGAGGAGAAACTCCTTTGTTTGTACAAACTTGCCAACAAAAGGGCCTCAGCAAATCAGTGCCGTGGTGAGCTTGGGCACCGCGGCTTGGGCCGACACTAATTTTGAGTGCTGAAAGTTGAACCCAAGTTTATGAAAGTACGACTGCGCAAGCGCTATCTATTTCACGTAAATATATCGTTTCCTGATTTGTTTACAGCGACATAAATATATCCGCTTCCTTCTAAATATAACATCTGAACATGAGGTTCACACACACTGATTATTGAAAATAAATTAATTTTTTTGTGTTGACCTTTAATTTTTATTATTTACTTACTGTATATGGTTATTTTAAAGATATCTAGGGATTATCCAGTCGTTGATCACACATATGATGCAGTGGTTGTTGGTGCTGGTGGGGCAGGCTTACGAGCGGCATTCGGCCTAGCCCATGAGGGATTCAAAACCGCTTGCATCAGTAAACTCTTCCCAACCAGGTCACATACAGTTGCAGCTCAGGTAAGTTATTTGTTATATGAGAAAACTGTGTACAGTAAGCATTTGAATGAAAGGAATGTAAACGCTTTACAATCTAAAGAACTACTAAAACTAAATTCACACTAGAGTGCAACTGCTCCTGCTACATTTTTTTCTACAAAGCTGAAAGTGTTAATTGTTGGCCTTCCTTGTTATTAGAAAATTTGTTTTTAATATTATTACCACACAGATACAAATATAACGCACTCCAGATTATATTTGGGGTGAGTTAGTAGGTCCGCTTATAACTAAGGTTACTGGCTAAGCCGAGACTAGATTGTGCAAGCCTCAACTAGGCTTCCGGACAAGCATAACAACATACAATGAAACAAAGATAAAACAAAACTGGCGAAAATGACTGATAACAGGATTTAGGTCCTTTAGCCCCATTTTTTTTTTTTTAATAAAAAAGGCCACACAGGTTTAAAGTCAGGCTCCAGTGAGAAAACAGTTTTTGATATGTTGTAGAACTGATTTTTGCTAAGAGAGAAAAAATTTGTTTGACCAAAAACTTGGGAACGGTGAATGAGACACAGATTTTTGCATATTTAAAAACGGGGTAAAAGGGGCCGCCCCTTTTTATACCTTTCCCCCCGTTTTTAGATATTCTAAAATTTGTATCTCATTCACCCTTTCCCAATTTTTCGTCGGACAACTTTTTTCTGTCATAGAAAATTCAGTTCTACAACATATCAACAAACATTTTTCCTCCGTAGTCTGACTTTTAAAATAAAATAAAGTAAAAATAAGTTTTATTAACAAGTTCTTTTGTTAATTACAGGGTGGTATTAATGCTGCTTTGGGAAACATGGAACCAGATGACTGGAGATGGCATATGTTAGTAGATTAGATCATTTGTGTACCAATTTTTACATTGTTTTTCATGAAAATAATTCACAATTTCTAATAAGAATTATTAATTACCAACCACTATACAATTTTCTTTCTGTCTCCCTCAAACTCTTTTAAACTCTAAACAGTTTATTTTGTATTAACATTTTTATTTAATTAGGTATGATACAGTGAAAGGTTCTGATTGGCTAGGTGACCAGGATGCCATACATTACATGACAGAAGAAGCTCCGAAGGCTGTTATTGAAGTAAGCAATACAAAATTCTGCAATATATTTATTACAATCTTCAGCAAATGGGTGAGAAGTAGCAACAATAATAATGTGTATTTTACAACATACAGTAAATGAAAAGATATATTTAAAATTTTACAATAATATCTTTTGAGCCTGTTGTCTACTGCATCAGCTAACAAGTTTGATACAACACTAGTTTTTATACATTGATTATGAATTATATTTAAAATGATAGGGCTTATTGAAATGATCATAATGGAATTGTGGGTATTTTTTCAACTAGCATTTGAACTTGTGTTTACATCTAGGTTTCTCTTGAGAAAATCCCACACAAACCAAAATTAATGTAAAACATAGAAATCATCTGAAACAGTTCTAACTTTACCACTTTCAGTTAGAAAATTATGGAATGCCGTTTAGCAGGACTGAAGAAGGTTTGATATACCAAAGAGCATTTGGAGGCGGTAGCTATGATTATGGAAAGGGTGGCCAGGCCCATAGATGCTGCTGTGTAGCAGACAGGACTGGGCATTCTTTACTGCATACTTTATACGGACAGGTACGTTGATCTACCATGTATCCAGGGGTAAGACTTGTCAAGTACTTCACTTTCTCCAATGGACTGTTACTAAGCGCCATCGTTTGGATTTTATATTTAGGTTCACAAAAATGACGACCTAAACATATGCTGATGTTGTGTTGCACCCTGGCCTCACTCAAGATTTAAGTAACACTATTGAAGCGATACAGAAAAGGGCATGCCATATAATCTTAGGCAAACATTTCAATTCTTATGAATATATGTTTTGGGCATATGTGAATTTGAACTGCTCTTGGAAAGGAGGGTGGCACACTGTCTCAAATTCACCAAGGGTCTCACTTTAACCTCACATTCCTCTGATCTGGTACCACCAGAGATCCCAAGTTTGAAAACCAAAAAATAGGGAGATTTTTTTCATGAAGCGATCGCCTCCTGTAGCGATGCGCTGTGACGCCTTACAACGCGCTGTGCAACATGAAAGTATTACACAAAATGACGAAAACAAACAATTTTCATCAATTTGTTTACTTTTATTTAACAATTTTACATTTGTTTACACATTGCAGTTGGCCTATAAATTTATAAATATTAATATTTATTTAGCATTTTGCTAGTAAAGCGTTCTTGGCAGCAGTCAACAAGGCTTTGCTTGGTTCATTGGCATGTTAGAGGCTATGGCTGATTTATTACATCTCATAAAAGAACATAGAATTCTAGCAAGCTGCAACTTGTTAAGATTCACACGTTTGCTGAAAAATAAAAATATATATATATATATATTTTAATTTAGTATAGTAAATCATACTACATGTTTTAAGTCAGCATTTATATATGTCTAGCCTATAATAACTGGTACATAATACCATGAAAAACATTAAATCCTGCCTCGCTAGGCTCCATCTATACGTGCGTAACTAGGCCTAAGGCCGCAGAGTCACGACCACCACTACACACAGACGCCCACCCAACACAACACACATACCGTACTACATACCCTGCACTGCAGATAGAGCCTAGGCCTAAGCCCTACATGTATTTTGGGATCGATATTAAAATAACCTTCATTTTTCGGAAGACTGCTTAGTACCAAAACCTATTAACTATAATTTTTTTAGTATTATTATTAAAAAACTTAAGCTTACTTGAAAGAAAACGTAATTTTTATGCACCGATTCTGTTTTATGGCTGAGCGAGCGCCATAGTATATTGGCTTAAGATAAGAAATTTTGTTTCATTGCTCTATGACATCGTGGAAATTATCACATTTTTCGTGAAATTTTCGGGATATTTAAAAAAATCGGGAGATATTAATAAAAATCGGGAGGGCGGGAGACGGCCTCAAAAATCGGGAGAAACCCGCAATTCTCGGGAGAATTGGGATCTCTGGGTACCACACACTCGTTACCGCAGCCACAATAAGAATCTTTGCAATGGTAACAAAATCACGCAATTTTCCATTAAAACAAATAGATTTTTCAGTTCAATCCCGTACTATATCCGATTACTCAATAATTCATAAACAGCAATGTTACCCTTGATGATTTGAGTGTGCCACCCTCCTTCCCGATTGGTGCTACAAATTTTCGGTCCAAATAATAATAATAATTATAATAATAAAATAATAATTTTTTTTTCTATATATATATATTTATTTTTTACTTTTTATTTATTTTTTTTTATATGTATTTCTTGTATCTTCTTTTTTTAATATTTTAATGTTTTTGCCGCTTTCTTGCCCATAACTTTTGTAATATTACAAGCTATTTGGCCCATTGGGCCACCATTTGTAATACCTCTGAGTGTTTTTTATCAATAAAGTGAAAGTGACACCGTACATGAACTTGTGCGTTTATGGGACATTCACGTAATACTGTACCTTTTCAGCTGTTAAGTTTGATTGGCATTTTGTAAAGTGATATACTATATGAAAATAGATCAGCTTACACTTCTTTAAAGATAGTTTAATATAACTGTTAATATATTTTTTATAAGAGCAAGGTTTTTTCCTTAAAATTATATAAAAAAAATTGTACATAATAATTTGGTGTGTGATTGTTATTGCTTTTTATCCATTAATGTTTTTTTTTTTCATTCTAAATTTCAATTTGGTTTTATAAAGATAAGTCTCAGAATTATTGAAAATGTCTAACTGTGGGTTTTTGTTTTTTTTTTTAGTTTTGTTTTCAAACTTTCTTTGTATTTTAATTTTTTATAAGTGAATGTACTAACATTTCTTTTTTCAGTCATTACGATACGATACCAATTACTTTATAGAGTACTTTGCCTTAGATTTACTCTTTGATAAAGGAGAATGCGTTGGAGTCATTGCACTTTGTCTAGAAGATGGCTCAATTCATCGCTTCAGGTCAAAGAGCACCATTATAGCTACAGGGTAAATTTCAATTTTATTTATAATAATTGGCTAAGCCATTCACAATTATCAATATTTTCACAAGTATACAAACAGTACTCTCTTTCAGTGCCACCTCCCTCCTCTCTGAAAGTGTACATAGAGATTTTGATTTTGCAAAACCATTCTCATGTAAAGTCAACTAAAGTACTATACTTAGTTACATAAAAATGTATTATATCTATGGTTGTATTACAGTTGGTCCTAAAAATCTATTTTTTAAAATGTTGCATGTTATTTTAAATCAACATTTTCATGTATATGCAAAAGTGTACAAATTTGTTTTCATCCGCCATCCCCCTCCCCACCTTGTTGAAAATTGTGAATGACCACTAACACACATTAATGAAATAGTGAAAGTAATAATAATAATTTTACATTTGTGCATTTCATATTACTATTTTACACAAATAAATACATTTTGTATGTCTGTAGACACAAACAATTACTAATCCAATAACTATATTACAGACTACTGTTGGCTCATACTTAATGATTTTATCTAGGGGCTATGGCCGTGCATACTTCAGTTGTACCTCTGCACATACTTGCACAGGTGATGGTACTGCCATGATCAGTCGAGCTGGTCTTCCAAACCAAGACCTAGAGTTTGTACAGTTCCATCCTACTGGTAAGTTTGATTTAGCGAATATAAAGCTACATTCACATCAAGCCCGGATTCCGGTCCGGAGAAAAAATCATAAAAATAGGGGTTAAGTGGTAAAGAATAGGACCGTTCACATCAAATTCGTACGATTTCAATCCGGACTACGGATCTGGACCGATGGATCTGAGAGCCATTTGTATCCTGAAATTGTACATTTTTTTTTCTTGGACCAATCAGCAACAAGCTTGGTTGGTTCGAACCAATCAAACGTATACAAAACGCGAACAACTGTGTTCCGTGCACGATGTGAACGCAGCGTTAAAAAAACGTAGCAACGCACGATTTTTTGTCCAGGCTCCAGACCGGATCCGGGCTTGATGTGAATGTAGCATAAGTCACTGTGAACTGAGACATAAAGTAAAATGAAATTATAGTCAATATATACAAAATTATTTATCCATAAGGCACAAGGAATGGATTGCTTAATTAATTGATTGAGTTAGTCATTGACAGATATGAAATGTTCAAGATACTGTGGTGTTAAAATAGCTCTTTTTAAAATTTAAGTCCTAAATTCCTTAATTTTAATTTTTTTTTTTAAATTTTACTGTAATTCCACTATTCTCACATGTGTGAAATCTATTTTGCATTGAACAGAAAAAGGAAAAAAAAAATAACATTAATTGTTTTACTGAATACTGTGGTTACATTACATAACATTCATTTAAATTGTAATATTTTAAATTAATTGAAATATATTAAAATTACGCCACCTTGTGGATGATGAATGCTCTGCAATCTACAGCATTTATTCGTCCAATATACAATAAAATACATTAGAAAATTACTTTTTGTACACTACAGATTCTGAGAAGCAACATCAAAACAACACAAAAACATGAAAAAAGTCATCATTACTGGAAAAATAACTTTACATATCGAAATATCAATTATAATTACGGATATGTATAGCAAATTTTATATATAATATTCAAGTTTCATTTTTGTAATTGTTTTTATATAATAAATTTAAAAGCAGCAAAAATTGAATACATTAGATAAATAATCGCAAATTACTGAAGGATAAAATGTGATAATAATTACAATAGATTCAAAATTGAGAAAAAAATATAATCTTGATAGGTATTTATGGAGCTGGTTGCTTGATCACTGAAGGTTGCAGGGGTGAGGGCGGTATATTAATAAATAGCGAAGGTGAACGGTTTATGGAGAGGTATGCCCCAACTGCTAAGGACTTAGCATCGAGGGATGTTGTCTCAAGATCAATGACAATTGAGATCAGAGAGGGCCGGTAAGATACCTATTGGACAAAACAATAACCTTAGTTAAATTATACTTAATTTAACTTTAACTTCATCCAACATACATTCTCACCAATTGACCAGGGTGACCTTGATAATTGTCATCATCATCATTATTATTATACTGATAATTTGTTTTCCTGATGCTAGATGTAATGAAGTGTGTAAGGGATCACAGAGAAAGCCATTAAGATTCCTATTTGACGAAACAGTAGTGGGAAACCTTAGTAAACCTATACCAAATATTTTAATTGTGGATACGTTGTCATCATTATCATTTATAATAATATTGATTTTCTATATCTCCTCCAAAGCCATGCTACATACTGTACATCTTGCCAATCGACCAGGGTAACCTTTATAATAGTTACCATCATTTCATCATCATTATTTTGTGGACCAGATGCTAGATGTACTGAAGATCAGTCTTTACTAAATTCTGTTTTTTTGTATTTTATACTGTAGTGGTGTTGGGCCAAATAAAGATCATGTGTACCTTCAACTCTACCATCTTTCACCAGAACAGCTAAAGACCCGATTGCCTGGTATCTCTGAGACTGCTATGATCTTCGCTGGAGTAGATGTCACAAAGGAACCGATCCCTGTCTTGCCCACTGTCCACTACAACATGGGAGGAATCCCCACCAATGTCAAAGGAGAGGTATGTGGACGTACCTTTGAAATCTGAGTCAGTGCTAACAAAATTGATTTCTCCCCCCCAACCATCCCAGTTGCCCTCCTCCACCATTGAAAATGTGCAAAGCAAAAAAATCACACTCAAGTAGATAAAAATCACCCCATATTACCTGATTTTGCAAGCAAGTTCCCCTCACTTAATCATTGAGCTCCCACTTCACCTTTGTGCCCCACCGCCGATCAGCAACCCCCTCCCCCTCGCCTCCATTTTAAGACTCATATGCCACCGTGAAAAAACATTAGCCATTACCTCTATTTGTCAGTTAATGTGGCTGAATCTAATGAGAAAGTTTTTATCAACAATTTTATGTTTTAAATTTTTTAATTAATTTGTTTAATATTTCAATGCGGAGAGCACCTTGACTGTTATTTTATTTATAGTTTTTAGGCAGTGCTGCTTTGATGATTTACTCTTATCTTCTTCTTCTGTTCTGTGTCCCAAAAATGAAATAAATGATATGACATATGATATGAGTCATTAGTGGAGAGGATTGAACAACAATTGAGGCTTCATTTAGCAATCTGTGGGAGTTTAGATTTAATTCAGCCAACAGTGGATATTAGACAATGGGTATTTTGCCTGGTAGAACACCTATTACACAGCATTTTTCAAATGATTAGTGAGGGCAAACTCCTACCCCAACCTTAAATATAGGCAAGTTTGAGCTATAGCCAGCAAAATAAACTTTTTGATTATAATTAAATATCTAGTTGAAGGGTAGAATAGTTAAACTTTTAAGCGTATGCGGCATGCCATTCCAAAACCAGCGTACTGTCGCTAATTGTTAAACTGAGTAATTAACATAAGATTAGTATGTGGCTTTAGTACAGATAAGCCATAATACTTCTCTCGTAACTTTGGAAATAGTAAGTCAATTCCAGTAAATATGACCCATCGTTTTAAACCTTATAATGTGGAGAATAAGAATAGATTAAAAAGTCAATTTTCATTTTTTGATCACGATGCTGTTTTTGGGATGGAAAGCCTCCTATACTGCTGTACTAATATTCATCCATTCATGCTTTTACTCAGGTAATATATTACGAGAATGGAGAAGACAAGGTAGTACCGGGATTATACTCTTGCGGAGAATCTGCCTGCGCATCTGTTCACGGAGCAAACCGTCTTGGGGCTAATTCACTTCTAGATCTGGTGGTTTTTGGTAGAGCATGTGCGCTGACCATTGCTGATAAACACAAACCAGGGGAGAGCATTCCAGATATCAAGCCAGTATGTGTACATAGTTTACATCTACTGAATCTACTACATGAATGTGGCAATTCGTAATGAATCATCAGTTTTCTTAAGTCATGCAAATTTGAATGAACATAAAAATATAATTTCTTAAATGTGGGAATGTTATATGGGATATACACCCACAAATACCTGATAAACTTTATATATTTATTCAAATGGAGTCTTTTTAATATGCACAATTCAGTAAAAAAATTTAAATTACTGATTTATGTGTGTCATACTGTTAAACATTTTTTTTTTTTAGAATGCTGGAGAGGAATCCGTGGCCAATCTGGATAAGATTAGATACGCCGATGGGTCTCTACCGGTGGCTGAGGTCCGTGCCAACATGCAATGGGTGAGTATCTAGAACACAAAAACATAATAATAATGATAATAATAATAGAAGAGGATGTCAATAAGTGTTTATTTATGTGACTTGACCTCTGACCTACTCATGTACAGTTGAGTCAATCCTTAATCTAATCCTAAAAAAATCCTTAAACACGTACAGTTCGCCCTTCAATTTGAGACCACCCTTAGGACCTGAAAACGTGGGTCGTCTCGGGGTTGGTCTCCAATTAGAGGGCTAGCTTTGTGTTAAAAGGGTGAAGATTGTTATTTGGGTCTTTGGAAAAGTGGTCTCAAATCAGAGGAGTCTCGGAATTAGAGGTTGCACTGTGTGATTATCTGTTCATTCTAAGAAGCTCATGTGCCTGTTGTAGTGTGAAATAATATGAGACATTATTGTGTAAGCATTATATAGACAGAATTGCATTATAAAGCGGATTTTTTGGTATTTTTCTTCAGGTGATGCAAAATAATGCCGCAGTGTTCCGTACCGGAGACATCCTAAAGGAAGGTGTTAATAAAATTGACGATGTCTACCAACAGCTGAAAGATATTAAAGTAAGCTGATATTTAAATTAAGTGAATAAAAAAATAATATAATTCAGTAATTAATTTTCTTTGTATGCTATAAACTTCTTAATAAAATTCAGAATGAGAAGATGTTAGTATTAGCTATTTAATAACAGAAGTAAAAATAATCCCAGCCCTATATACCGTAGCTTTTAACAAACTGGAAGAGCTTTTGTTGCAAAAATATATGTAAATCAATGAAATTAAAGTGTTAAATCTGTTTCATTTAATTTTATTCTATATTGTAAATGAGCTAGTCAATATTTTAATTGGTATGTATGGCGTTTTTCCAGGTTTTTTAAACATAGTTAATGTCACTTAAGAAGCATTGTTTTATATTTCTAAGATGTATTCTCTTACCCTTTGCTTTTAGTTGTATGACCGAGGCATTGTGTGGAATACTGACCTTGTCGAAGCCCTTGAGTTGCAAAATCTTCTTCTGAACGCCGCACAGACAATGCATTCTGCCGAAAACCGAAAGGAAAGTCGTGGAGCCCATGCACGAGAAGACTTTCCAGTGAGTTTTCAAACTAAACATTCACAAAATCTTTTTAAACTGTTGCTTCTATAGTACTTCAAAATATTAAAAAGTGAATTACCAGCGTTTTTCTTTATTCCCTTAACTTTCAATCAGTCTTATTTCAAATTATATTAATGTAACTCAGTTTTATTAAATTTAATGATTACAGTGTTTAAGGTTTGTAATTTATCCAATTCAATACAATACTCAATACTCAATAGATTTTCTACTATAGTAATAATAATAATAAAATAATAATAATAATAATAATAATAGAATTCTACTTTTTGTGCACTTTTAAATGTTTTTTATTGGGTATTTAATTTTTTATTTTTTTTATTTGTGTAGGTACTAAATTAAAGAACTAAACTTTTTTTAGTGATATGATAACAAAAATAAAACACTATAAGGCTCAATAAAAATTAGTTTATCATCTTATCTAGCCTGGAAAAGTGATGAGGGTGGGAGGCTTTTAATGTTTTATTTTCTTAAGGCCAAATATCACCCTTCGGTTGTTGTTGGTACATTGATATTCCAAGTAATATACATGGTTGAGATAATAAACAGTATCTACTTATTGGCCCTAAAATGAAAAAGATTTTTTTAAATAATGCAATTCAACATGATGTACTCAATAATTTGGTTTTCTTCATATCTGAATGTTGATTGAATATCACTGCTAAATTGCCGGAAATAAAATTTGGCTGGAGTGAAAACAAAATAAAACATCTTTTATTAATTGTGGCAAAGACAAGCCAAACCAGTCACTCATCGCAAAAATAAATTTTTAGTTATTAAATACAGGGTTAAAGAGTAAAACGAGAGTTATAAAATGGTAAAAAAATCATTTTAATCCAACATTTCGTTATGGAGTTACAGGAGTTTAAACATGCAGAAAATCAGCCTCCAAAGTTTTATGATTTTGGGCATTTCTCAGGCAGAAACCATCAGTAAATTGTTAAAAAGTGTAGTTTTAGCATTGAAAATTGGGAAAATAACAGCATAGCATGATATATAGATATATAAAGGTTAGTTTAGTGTAATAATAATATAGATTTCAAAGATTTTGACATTCCAGCATGTCTTGGCCATTATCTTTGAAACAGGATTTTGTGACGTGTGACTGGGGTCTTTGCCACATATATTCAGCAAAAGTGAATGAATAAAAGTATATAGTAAGAAAAAAAATTATCTACAAACCAGGTGATCCCTCAGTCATGTTATATAGAGTGCAGAATTATGATTTCTTTTCTTCCTTGTTTTAGGATCGTATTGATGAGTATGATTATGCTAAACCCCTTGAAGGTCAACAGAAACGGGCTTATGACCAGCACTGGAGAAAACACACATTAGTACATATGGATAAAGACACAGGAAAGGTAAGTGTTTACCCAAAGCAAGTAAACAAGTAAACACCTCTCTTTGAAAGCTTTGCTCCATCCACACAACTAAATATTTTGTGTCCTTGCTTGCCTTTGTTTGTTTAGACAGTGGCTATTGTTACACCAGTCTAAAAATGAATTCCTAATTCTGATTGGCTGTTATTATTAATATCACCCAATCAGAATAATCATTTGTTTAAGACTGGTGTAACAGTGGACACTGCATTTTCTCTGATGTAAGTAATATAAATTCTGCTGTTAAAATTGAAAACTGTTGAAAATGAGCCATTTTTTTGTATTTTTTTGCTCTACCTTTAATGTCCCCTTTTGTAGAGTTGATGTCTGTAAACATAGTTTTATTTCTAGACTTTCTCTACAATATAATTCTCTTTTTTTAACCACTGATATTGACATTTTTCACAATAGTTTGTCTATATTTCGTTCTATTATTAATCATTTGAATAGGTGAGATTTTTGTACTCTTTCGTCTGTATGTTTGATATATTTAAATTTTATATATTTTACCAGCCTGTTAGTGGCGATGATTCGCTGATGGTCTGTTGAAATGAAATAAATAAATAAATATTCAATCCATGTTTTGGAATTTAGAATATATTGTTGTTTCAAGTGATTATTGTATATAATAACAGTTATTTACTGTAAGATTGTTGTTTGTGTTTTTTTTTAATTATTATTATCATTATCCAGACTTCCCAAGTTCTATGGAACGTCTGTAGTTCCTGCAGAAATTTAGCCTAAAAAAAAATTATCATTTGGCCTAGACCCATTAACAGGTCTACACATTGTCTGATGTCCAGAACAACTGACTTTTCCATTAGGGTCTTTGGTTACATTGTCCCTAGGCAACTCAGACTTGTCAGATTAGTGATAAATTATTGTGAAAACCAAGAAAAAATGACCTGTAAATTTTATCTTGTCAGTATTGCTTCAAATTCCACTGCTTATTACGCTGTACCTTTAATTTAAGCAACCCATATTTTGCACTCAAGACAAATTATTAGGTGCTACGGAATTTTTGTATCTACTATGGATATTTTTACACATGGTTACTGAAATGCATTTTACTAACTTGAGAAGTCTGCATTATCATTACTGTAACTCCACACTTTGCCTATTCTCGAATTATTTGCTAAGAAACAATGTGTTGAACCTATACCAATCGTTTAATCATTGCTTAATGCCTCATTGCAGGTTAAGTTGGAGTATAGACCAGTCATAGATGAGACGTTAGACCAGGAAGATTGCGCCACAGTTCCACCTGCTGTCAGGTCATACTAGATAGACTACCTCAACAACAACCCAAACTTTAACCCTGAATGTCCTCTGAGTGTGTCACCTATTGCCATGACAAACATCTTAAACTGCTAAACAATTTGTCGTACTTAAAATGAGAATGAGAAACGATCATTGATGTCTATTATGTGTGGGGTCATAGTTCAGTTTTTGATGTCATGTGTCCAAGCCACCTGGTTACTTTGTAAGACTGGCGAAGTTCAATTGAGGTAATTTCATTGAAACTGATTCAAAATGGCTAATTCAAGGTTTTAGGCAGACAAGAATTACCTAGCAGTCCATATGAGAAAATTTATTGTACACTGTATGTGTGACGGATACGGTCATGATTTAATGACGATGCTCTAAGCAATCTAAGTATAGTAATGTTCTGCGTTGGCGTGTTAGTGAATATGTTTTGTCTTATTTTATAATTCTGTATGCATGATAAGGGTAGGGCAATTATCATGCTTGGGAGTATAACTTTATTTGAGTTTTGATAATTTGATTTCAAAATTTGTATTGTAAAAACCCATAAAAATTTACTGGTTTTGCTAATACTATAATATGGTATTTTCTTTCACGGTTTTGTAAACATTGTATGGCTGTAATGCACTGTTGGTAGCTGTAAACGTTTCCTCTAGATGGCAGTAGATAATGGCGGACAGGTCCTCTACCTGATGTGGACACTCTTTCTCTGCTACCATCTAGAGGACAACAAGGCAACCACAAATTAATAGTTCATTGCAGCATAGACAGTGCTCACAGTAATGTGGATAACATATATTGGCAAAACTAGTGAGTTTATATTGGTTTATGGTTACAATTTTGTAAAATCAATTATTAGTAAATAATGATTTTGGAAAACTGAAATTGAAAAAATATCTGTGTGTTTGTATTATTAAAACCTGCAAAAGGTACAAGACTATTCCCATAACAAACACACATCATATACTGTATGTTATTGGTATTATATAATATCCGATCCAAATTACGGTACGAGTTTCATTGTTTACCATTTCAATAACAAATTAGACTTTAGAAACACTTCACTTTTGTTGCATTGTGGCATCACTATTGGATTGTTTTCTAATATTTTGTCTTATAATATAATTTATAGAGAGATAATTAAAGATAAGTAAAATTTATGAATAAAATTGAAATGATGGTGTGTGTATATTGTCTGTATTTTGCTTTATTTATATACTGTAGTAAACTAAAGTAAAGCAATGAGAGAGCTTAATTTGATCTTCGTTTTTTTCCTGCCTTAGTGACGCGAATTGTTAATTCCATCTACATCGCAAGTTTAAAGACTAAAATAACCATTACACATTCATTCAAAACATTGACTTTCTGACTTAAAATGATAAAATAAGGGTTTTTTTTCCCAAAGAGTCGCAGTTCGAAACAACCTGTCTTGGCTGATCTATACTTTTTATATGCCTATATTTACTAAATTTAAGTAAGGAGGAGTAGGACTAGATTTAATTATATCTTCTCAATAATTTCTTTTTCTCTGTAAAACGAATATAATTTTTGTACAGTATTTGTTGCTTATATTAAAAATCATAGCCTACACAACGTAGAAATTACTGGTTTTGCTAATATTTCACTGTTTTGTAAACATTGTATGTGCTGTAATGCACTATTGTACAGCAGGTAATGGTGGTAAGCTCCTCATCCCTGATATGAACACGCTTTCTCTGCTACTATCTAGATTGCATTGTTTCAAGTTTATTAGATCAGAAGCAAGGGAAACAGATCTTCCTTTCATAAAAAAATATGCCCTCAGGCGCCCTGAAAACTTCCTAGGAGTACGCCACCCCATTCCCCCACTTTCGATTCACTCGATCCACCTCATCAGTATTCTTAGATAGGACCAAATCTGGTGTACTTAACTCTCCATCAAAAATATGTCATTTGTAGGAGACCCACTTAAAGATGTAGATATTAGTGGGTCTCTTACGATAGACATATTTTTTTGTTGGTTAAGTTAACGTGCAAATATTTTTAATGTAACAAAGTTTAGCGCGCCCCCCTCCCGAGTCCTCGATCGGATTTGATAGGCCTAAATGCATAATTGTAACATGCTAAGTTTATATTCACACCCATTTACTAACCAGTGTACATCAATTGTATGCAAATATAGGCCTATTTAGCATGATCCTGACCTTATAACTTGTCGACAGAGAACATCCTGGCGATCACAATAGATGCCTTTCTATGAATTGTAACTTTTTTTGATGTTCGATGTGATTTTTGTCTGACAGATTTATGATTACCTGAGTATTATTGCTTGTTAATTTTGAGCTTTATTGCTTAAAACACGTTGTATTTTCATTTTTTGGGCTCAGTACGGACTCTAAATGTATGCATTTTCTTTTAGTTTGAAGGCGTATGCGGATTTTATAAGACGATATAACATGTTTTAACCAATTTGGCTATTTTGGCCGCGAGTTTTAAAATGTCGTTTTATGTAAAATATGTAAAATATAATTGTATTTTCTTTTTATTTCAAACTTTTATACAGGATTAAAACATATCAGGTGGTTGTTAACACCTGTTTTTCATATGGTCCTGTTCAAACTTTTACTATGGTTATATAACAAATATTATGCATCTCACTAATAAATATTATATCTAATAAAGCAGAAATATGGATGGTAAAAGTGCGCTGCCAAAATTTTACTTGCGCGCTAGATGTACCGTTCAACGTTTTAATTTATATAAGAAAACTGGAAAGATCAAAACGATAAAAAAACAATGATAAAATCAGAAATATGATGAAAGAATAAAAATAACACATCATTACAGAAAACTGGAAAGATCAAAACGTAACAACGATAAAATCAGAAATATGATGAAAGAATAAAAATAACACATCATTACAGAAAACTGGAAAGGTCAAAACGTAACAATGATAAAATCAGAAATATGATGAAAGAATAAAAATAACACATCATTACAGAAATATAAATACGTAAATATACATCACACACAGTCAAGATATTCAAAGAAACACGTATCCGCGTCGCACTATAAAAATCCATATACATATACGTTTTCAAGACGAATGCTTAGCATATGGGGTGGAATAACGTGTTTGTTTTTTTTATTAACATAGGCCTACTTTTATATATACAGTATATATAATTATAAACATAATAGTAGAAGAATTGGATTTTATATTTTAGAATATAAAAAAGAATCTCAGCCTCCAACGGGAATATCGAACCCAGGAACTTTTTCTTACACGGCGAACGTCTTGCCAACTATACCATCAAGGCTTTCGTTGGTTGGTTGATTAAATCCAGTAGCCACTGAGAGTCCTTCAACATTGTCAACGCCTACCCATGGCAATTCAAACAAAGCTAGTCCGTGCATGCCTATAGGACAATCCAAG